GGGGGGGGGGGGGGGGGGCCCAAAGCGGAAGAACAACTCGGCCGGGGCGGCACCGCTCCCTCCGCAGGTCTTAAAGCAGCGGAAGAGCACCCCCGCTGAGGAGCGGGAAAAGAAGGAGAAAGATCCCAAGCGCAAGGAGGAAGGCGAGGCCAAAGAGGCTTCGAAGGAAGCCGAGAAAGCCGAGAAGGCTGCTCCTGCCGCATGCAGCAATATATGATGATGAGCAAGTAGGTCTTGCTTCCCTGTAGCGCAATGATGCGGCGCAGGGCGAGGAGGATGCGGAGATCCCGAATGTGTCCAAGAGGCGCCCACGTGAGTCCAGGAGTTCTGCTGAATCCTCCGGGGCCCTCCGTTGTGCCTCCGAGGATGGAGGGCAAGGTCCATTCCAACTGTCCTGGTGCACACGGACTCAGGCTTTTTGAGGGGGGTCTCTCTTTTTCTTCTGCCTGCGGACTCCTGTTTTCTGTCTGCTCAGCTTCTTCCTGACTCCGGAGAATGGCTGGTGGCAGCAGCCTCGGCTTCCGAGAGCCACAAAAAGTGCCGGCTTTCCTTGTCCCCTGAGGTGCAGCGTCTGTGAAAAGGAGCACGCAAAGGCGCCCGGTTTCATGGATTTTGGGAGCCTTCTCCGAAGTAGCGAGCTTGCCACCAGGGTTCCGGCTTCTATGGCTGTCGCCAGTGCGACTACGATGAATGCCAGTGCTGCGCACTGACGCCGCAGCCGGCTCGGCAGCCCAGTTGCGGCAACACCGTGCGTTTTTCTTTCTTAAGAGAGTGTGACGAAGCCTGAGTCATTAAGAGAATGGCTTCAGTGGAGGCGTCCAAAGCTGCCGCACCGCAGCCGGAATCTAGCAACAACTCCCATGCCGAAACGACCAGCCGGGCACCAATGGCCGTCGCGCATTCGGGAGGTGGAGGTTGAGTGGAGTGAGTCAGAGAGCAGGCCGTGGCAATAACGCCATGAAGACGCCGCCTCCACCGCCTCCGCCTCCGCAGAAAGGACCACCCAGAAAAACTCGACAAGAGCCCTTCAAACAAAGAGCGCCCGCAGGAGCGGCCAAGACTCCGCCCGGGGCCCTGAGGAATGCTTCACGAATTCTGGGCCCCCGCTTTTGGCACCGTGCAGCTTTCAGGCCGGTCCCGCCGGAGCCTGTGAAGAAAGGCGCACGGGGACTCGGCGCCCTCTACTAATTCGACTAGGGGCGCAGAGTTCAGCTCTTATAAGAGTGGACCTTTTTTCCGCCAGGCTCCTCGAACGCGGCATCTTCGTCGTCGTCCTCCTCCACCTCCGGCCGCCCGGCCGAAGTAAAGCAAAGCACCGCTGAGTGGCCACTCTGCCTTGAGGCCAAGAGTCCGGTCGGTCGAAGTCCAAGTCGAACTCGACGCGCTCGCGGTCCTCGCCCGTTCGCAGGAAGGGCAAGGCCGGCGCAGAGTCGAAGAGAGCGGAGAGAGCCGCGTTCCTTCCCCCACGCGCCTTTACGCCCCTTCGCCCGGGAGGAGGCGAAGAAGGAGAAGGAGAAGGAGAAGGAGAAGAAGAAGGAGGCCGGGGAGCACTGGGCCACGAGACAATGCAGCTGTGCACAGCCCTTCAGTGAAGGAGAAGGAGAAGGAGAAGGAGAAGAAGGATGGGAAGAAGAAGGATCCGAAGAAGAGCCAGGCAAAGCAACCTCTGTAGCCTTCTCTCCCCTTAGTAGAGAGTGAGACGTCGTCTCCGCGGCCCGCCGCAGGCCAAGCGGAAGGCCACGGTGAGGGCCTCGGACCCGGGCTCCCGGTTCCCGGCCCCTGTAGACCCCAACAGTTGAGCTTCTGAGAGGGGGAGGGCGGGTAGCCTTGCCAACTAGGGGCAGCCTTTCTCATGGTGCTGTCAGCGTCAGCCAGCGGTGAGGCGAAGGTGAAGGTGAAGAAGAGCGTGAAAAGGCTTGGCGCTGCAGTTAGGGCAATTTTATCTCTTCCTTCCTGCCGCTGCTCGTCGCTGCTCGTCGCACAAGCGAGGCCTCAGAAGCCCACGAAGTCTGCCTCTCGGTCCCGGTCCTCGGAGAACTCGGAGTCCAAGTCGAATGGGGAAAAGGAGCGACTCAGGGGGAGAGACTCAGGGGCTCTTAGCGGCCTTAGCGGCATGGCAGGAGAAGAAGAAGAAGAAGAAAAACAAGAAGTCCGAAGGGGGGAAGCGTGCTGCGGACCGGCTGTGGTCCCATCTCCCGATGAATAAAGCACTTTTCGGTCGCTGCCAGCTCTCACTAGCTTCGCGCTTTGCTCTCACGGGAGGATCCGAAGCTCGTCCCTCGCAAGGAGCCCGAGAGGTGGGAGCCGAAGTGCCGGACCCAGCCAGGGAAAAAGGCAGAAAAGGAGCCACCTAAGACTACGACGTGGACACCATGAATGTCATAGGTCTTGCTGTCATGTCATGTCATATTCATATTATACATACTTATATATATATACACACACACAAAAACATAAGATATATGTTTGAGAACATGTGTATGTATGTCTGTATGTATATATGATATATGTGTATATATGTATATGTATATGTATATGTACACGTACATGTCATATGTGTATATATATATATATAGAGAGAGAGAGAGAGAGAGAGCGAATCACCGAGAATTGAAATATTCGAGATCAACCTCCTGGACTTAATTATTTCAATTGTTTCAGGTCTATGTTTTTAAAGGAAACGAAACCAGCCGTCAAATATACCCTGAAGAAGCCTCTCTCTCTCTCTCTCTCTCTCTCTCTCTCATATATATATATATAATATTATAATATGAATATATATATATATATATTGTTATGTTTGTTATTATTGTTGTTATTATTCCTAATATTTTTTCGTACACATGCATGTGTCCTTAATGTGTCAGGGTAACGGTTGGTTGGGTTCTGCAATACCCCAACTCTCCTCCCTCTCCTGCACGTGAAATGATTTCATGCCTGTCTCTGTGTGTGTGTGTTGTGTTGTGGTGCTTTGGCTACTTTCGGGTGCTGGTCGAAAGAGCGTTCTCCGGGTCAGCCTGCTGAGACTTGTCCAAAGACTCTTTGCAGCGATGTTGCTTGGAGGCTCACCTGCAACATATCATGTCAACCCACCCTCGCGACCCTTGTGAGCAATTCGACACGGATGCCTTCTGAGTCTTTGATTGCTGCTGGGCATCAGATCAGCGATCGTATGCGACGATGCTGGAATCGCCTACCACGCAGCCCAACTGCGACGACTACGAGAGAAATTTGAAGACTGTCGATCTGAATGTGTTTACACGTGTTGATCGAAAGTTCACTCGGGACGGGCTCTTCCTGTTTCTGAGGAAAGAATGCAAAGGGGGCCAGGGACCAATATCACCTGTCCTGGCCAATGTGATATTGGGGTGAAAACGTACTTGCAGTGGAGTGGGCAGCTGGGAAGGTGAGTGCAGAGATGTGATTGAAGAAGCGAAACTTGCTTGCTAACAACCCATGGTATGACTCCGGTCATATTGAGGGTCAACCCAAATGTGTAGTTCGGCTGGATATCAGTCATAGTGCCAGTCGTGATGCTCCAGCTTATTTACAAAGTTCGGCGGCCGGAACGATGAACGCAACAGATTCTCCAAAATACTCCCCTACAGAAATGGTGACACACACTGGGACACTGTGTACTTGTGATCCTAAATGCGACATCTTTGGCTATTCAACTTGCATGATTGCGTGCGCAATGCTTTCGCCGACTATACAACTGGCGTTGAAAAATGACTGTTGCATACATGGAGTATGCTCCTCCACTAGCGTTGGAGACTGACTGCAGCATACATGGAGTATGCTCTCCTATTGTACACTGTGCGTTGGAGAACGCTTCAGCATACGTGCAGTGTGCTGTCCTACATGCCAAAGTTATGGCCGGCAATGCAGGCATAAGGAGGAGAGTGGCCGCCGCGGGCTCGCCTGCTAAGCCCTCGACCTTGAGCAAAAAACGATTCGGGGGGCTGCGGCCCAGACCTGTGAACTCCCGCATTCGCATATCGAAACAAACACGAAGATGACAGTTGCTGTGGCTTCGTCCAGCAGCGATCAAATGCGAAACAAGCTTGAAGGAGAGTGGCCGCTCTCGACCTTAAATTACATAAAGAGGGACATGGGGGGCTGCGGTTCAGACCCCGCGAACTGCCATCTTAGCAGATAATAAAGGCCGGAGTAGTGTAGTTTCCGCTTGCCTATGTTGGAAAACATCGACGAGTGTCGATTGTGTTGGAATGCGTGGACATTGTACAGTCTCTGACATGAGCGCAATGCGCCTGTGTTGGAATGCGTAGACCTCTGCAACTCCATGACATGAGTGCGGTTTGCCTATGTTGGAATGCTCAGGAGAGTGCTGATTGCTACCCCTTCATAGGGGCACTTGTGTGTGTGTGTGTGAAACCGTGCTTCTAGGGGTCACATAGAGTTACAGACTGCAGGGGGCCAGGAACCAATATCACCGGTCTTGGCCAATGAAGACAGGGTGATATTTATTGGGGTGAAAACGTACCTGAGCGGGATTGGTGACCTTGCCCTGAGCCCTTGCGAGAGCAGCGGGGAGGTGAGTGCAGAGATGTGATTGAAGAAGCGAAACTAACTTGCTGACCCATGGTATGACTTCGGTCATGCTGAGTGACCAAGTGTGTGAGAGCGCGCGTGTGTGTGTGTGTGTGTGTGTGCGTGTGTGTGTGTGTGTAAACGCCTGTACATGGCGACTGCAGTGCACCTTTTTCCATCTTGCAGGGGGCACAGGCCCGTCTTGGATACCTGTGCCAACGA